ATCCGCAAAAAGCAGAGATGCGATCCTAAGGCCACCAAAACGGATCCCCTCAACACCTCGGCTGCGCCTAGAAATTCTGTCCATGAAAGTAAGTTAGAATGTTAGTTGAGTTAGAATGGATGATTGGGAATGAAGTTTATTGTAATGATCCAAGGTTTATTAATCGATTATGTTTTGGCAATTGACGATTAATGCCACCAGGCAGAGTCCGCTCAGTGCTCCGCTCCGCTTCAAAATGATGAACATTAAAAAAAAGTTCTGTAATTTATTTATCTATCAACACAATTTAAAATTTGATGTATAGCCTGAAGTCTGTAATTTTGACACAACTTGGAACAAGTTTTTACAAAGAGCAAATCTGTCCCACTAATTTGATCATGTGACTAGGACATACGATCGTCCAGGGATTCAAGGGGATTAATCATCAAATTAATCATTATCGACTAAATACCACAATTAATCGTGATTTATTTTTTTTTACCAATGTTGCCCAACCCTACAATGGACATAGAAATCCTGCAGTGGATCATCCCTCTACTAAACAACGAACAACCTGGATGGACGGTGAACACAGTGGCTAAGATGAATGACTAAAAGGGACTTTTTCCATTGTGTCTTACAATGTGCGTGGTCTGCGTGTAGGACATAATGATGGGGACAAACTACAGTATTTTATTGTGGACAAGTTTTTTGAAGATTGTGATTTTTTTAGGTGCACAAGAGACTTTTTTTTAGTAAAACAGGCCTCAGCTAAGGCTGGCGTCACACTACAAGAAAATCATGCCAATTTTTGCCCTTCCTACAATCTTAAGGAAGTCCAGATTATCATGATGGCTCTAAAGATAATCTGAGCAGATATTCCTGCCATGGGTGGTGAGTTAAGAGTGATCTAGTTGGCTTGGAAGAACATCAGGACCGCTCCGACCTCAAATCGGGGATATTCAACATGTTTGGTTTTTTTGGTCTGATATCACAGTGTGTGTAGTGTTCACCTGAGCTCTCAGCCTGTGAATGAGACGTGTAGCCAATCAGAAAGTTAGGTGACGTAAACACGGAGGGGATTCCAAAATACAGAAGACAAAAAACTGTCATGACTCAGCAGAAAGTCTGCTGGATGTTAAATTGTTTTTCCTCTGGTAAAAATAGTCCACAAACGATCCACATTGTGTCTTTCTTGTCGTAAATGTTTTACTCTGAACTCACGTCTCTCTGGAGGTCACGTGACATTTTTCCTCAGACATATGAATTCTCGTGAGATTTCAGGAAGTCTCGCGTGATTTTATATGTGACATCTGACTGTTCATGAATGAAATATCTTTTCGTGTGTGGTGTGTTGTCTGTTGCCGTGTGGCTGTACACCACACACTGTAGGACCAAACCTGGTAGATCCATGACATTTTATCCTCACGTGTGGACTCTCAGTCTTTGAAAATCAGCCGACTGTTTTAAAATCTTGTAGTGTGACTCAGCCTTAAGCTGAACGAGTTACATAAGGATTTTTATGGTGTTGGAGAGTCAACTACTGATCTCTGTTCTAATTTAATTAAAGGCAGGATACCTGGTGGTGTAGCCATTTTTTTGGAAGAAGATCTTTGATAATCAGGTGAGAGTGTTGAGTTAGATTGGATGATTGGGAATGAAGTTTATTGTAATGATTCAAGGTTTATCCTGCTGAATGTATATACGTATGCCATATAAGTGTACAGAAAATGAGGATGAATAAATAGACTAGCTTGTATTCTAACAATCCTACAGGAATTGGATTGCACTTGCATATATGCAAATTATGACATTTCTGATGATAGATCCTTGTTTGGGAAACATTTAAAATGTTTTTGTTATGAAAATAAATTAGTTTTATCTAGTCAGGTATTTCTGCTAGAAAATAGATATTTGATCTAAAGTATAGCACTCAAAAAGGCCACACAATGATTATAAGAACAAGAGAAGCTCAGCTATGTGGTCATGCTCTTCAAGAGACAGATGAGGTCGAGTATCTTGGCCATTATCTCACCAATGATCTACGTGACAATAGAGATATGTATAGGCAGAGATGTAGATTGTATGGACAGGCAAGTTTTCTCTTTCCTAAGTTTCACGTGCTCTAATAATAATGTTAAACTTGTATTGTTTAAGACTTTCAGCCCATCGTTGGCATAGCTATACAAAGAGGAGTCTCCAGAAATTGACTGTGGCATTTAATGACTCTGAGACTATTACGAGTGTTCCACGGCACAGTAGAGAAAACGAAATGCTTGCTAATTAGTTAGATCTTATGTAGCGGTTATTAGACACTGTATCTATTCATTTATGTGTATAGTTGAGAATCAGCAGAATGGTTTTATACAAGCCCTGCCCTAGAAACAGCTGTCAGAAAGACATCAAGAATGTGGAGACACTGGCATACCTGTCTATACAAGGTGTGTAAATAGTTTGTGATGTAATTTTTATCTTTCCTTTTATTATATGGACCAGGATTCTGTGTCCTTAATAAGGACTGAAATGAAACGAAAAAGAAATGAGAAAAAGCTTGAAACCAGGGAACAAAGCGAAGCTAAGCAGTTAATTGGCAGCAAATTGTCTCTAGAGTTTCAGGTTCTGCAGATGATGAACACAAACAGCACTGCAGACTTGACTGCCTCTGATCTGTTCTCAGGGGAGCTGTGCTAATTCAGCCTGGAGCTTTGTGGGAAGACAGATCCAGCTCCCTGCACGTGGCTGCTAACAAAGACCCAATGACGGCTCGGCAAATCGGCTTTCCCCCCCCCCGAGCTGAAACATCAAAGAGAAGTTAGGTGGAGAAAGCCGATTCATGACCCCTCTGATCCCCCCAGTGTCAGCACACAGAACAGAGGGTCTCACTTTGAGATGAATCATAACAAACAGAAGAGTCACCTGGTCTTGATGGTCGAAGAAAGTGTTGATACAAGTCCTGGAACTTGCATCCCAAACCTTCACACTCTTGTCAGACGAACTGAGAGCAGAAGAGAGGAAACCTGTCAATTAAATTAGTTCAACTAGTAACAGTATGAACGCACACATGCTGATTGATTTGCAATTACATCATAACCAAAGTTTATTAATGTTATTTTGTATGTTCTCTGTGTGGTAGTGAGGTGTCGTCTGTCGCGGGTGGTCTTATGTGCACGATATCTCCTGAATGAAATGATATATTTATAAATAGGCATAGTAACTCCATTAGTACCAAAGAGGTTCTATAGAACTGGAGTGTGTTAAACCAGGTGACCGTGTGATCGGCTGGAGAAGCTAACAGCTAACGCTAACCAGTCAAGAGTCTGGATTTCCCATTCCTGTACATGTTGACAACAGAGCAGAAAAAAAGGACTGACGATGTAGAAATCATTAAAACTATTAATAATAATATTAATCCAATTATTAATATTTTACAGTTTATATAATCTATCTAATGTTTTAAATAATGCCAGAAAAACTGTTTGTGTTATGGATTTAT